AACGACTTCAATCATGCAAACTGAGAAATTTGCCAGAAAATTCAACTGTCAAATTACTATTCACGTTAGAATCTACCCAGCAGAAGAGACTATTTATTAGCTTTATCCTCGACGGCTCCCACTTTGGTCTGCCTACTCCAACCGATCCTGGGTCGGATCCTATTGTGAATTTTGTTTGTATGCGCGCGATTCACCGAGTTTTGCGCTTCCTGAAGTTGTTCGTGTTTAATGTGGCTTATTTTATTATTTTTCTTGCCCCTATGATTATATGCACATTTCATGCTTGATCTTTTGTGGGTTTGCTTATATTAGATTCTATGTAACAAATTTAAACACAAGTAAGTATAAAGTCCGAGAACGAAAATTTTCAAAAGGTCAACCAACGTTGAAGCAGTGTTGTTATCTTTCGGAGAGGAAATTATGCTTTATGTGGCTAGATAGGATCGAGTGGACGAACTGGGGCAATCTGCAGTGAGTTTTAGGGCGCTTGGATTGAACTCGCACAGTATTCAGGCTTTCTACTATCAAATTGCTATGTGTACCACCTCGTCCATTCCCTTTTACCCATTTCACCATGACGAGTTTTCACGCAAACTGGGATAAGAATGTAGATTTGGGCTAGAATAGAGGAAGTGCTAGTGATCTTAGATTTGTTCCGGTTCGAATGCCGGGACATGGAACCAGGGTCAACCCTGCGTTGCGCAAATTCCGAAATTTTTACGACCCCCTTCCTTTTCGGAGGGTATCGGTAGCCCCCTCGTATTAACTGTTATGTATTTCACACAATTTAATGCTCATCATTGATGTGTGGGCAGTCGCACATGGAGAATGGTGGACCGTGGTCAATCCGCGCGCTCTGTCTCGCTCAGAGGAGGGAATCGGTATGGCATATATGATGGTGTTTGTATTCGATTGAAAGCAAACAGTTCAGGGAGGGTCCGAACAATTCGCTATAATGCCTAACTTTACTACTGTGAGGGGATACGACGAGCGCTCCTATTGTGCCGACAGATCACATGTGCAGGTGGAAATAATACAACGAACCTTAACCTCAGAAACTCTGTGTCTCTAAAACAGAGGTGGTGGAAAGTCCTCAAAACATGGGATGTTCTTGGGATGTCGCAACCCGCCTCCTGCTCGCCCGCCGCCCCGGACATGGATGCCCGCGCCCGTCCGCGCCAACTCTGTAGCTTCGTTTGTTGACCACAGGGAAAAGTGATTGACAAAGTGGGCGGGCGTTTTACAGCGGCACTTCAGACAACTCGTCCAACGTGCGTTTTATCCATTGCTTGAGCGGCCAGAGGGAGCCAGTTAAGAAACCTGTTCTAAGACCTCTCGCCGACGATTGTCCGTTTTGCATACTATAAGTCGTCCGTGCTGGTTCTTCATCTCTACAACTTCATATATTGGTGGTTTTGTTCACTCAGCTCGAACCGTTCCTGACTGTTGCTTTAGAATAGAACGGGGCTTGTGCCAAAATTTTTAGCGTAAATCAATGTATGATTGTAATCATACAGATTTCTACTTTCAGTAACCTACCAAGTTTTTTTTCGATCTCTCAGTTCTTCTTCTTTTATAATCTGAACATATAAACCTTCTAGCAATTACGTTGCAATCGAAACCCCTCCATTCAGAAGGTCCTCATAACAGTCGGAACCGGACACCAAAATTTTAAAAATTCTAATAGTTTTTTTCTTAAAAAATATCTGGAATGTTGCGGATGTTCTATATTTCAAAAAATCGTCCCGTTGTCCGTTTTTTGTGCTCACGCGAGTTTTCGACATTCAAACGTTCATAACTTTCTTCGTAATCAACTTTTTGCAGATGTCTAAGGCTATTTAGGAACTAGAGTAGTAGATTTCCGATAAAATGCTCAAACTTGTTAAAATAATCACTCGCTCAAAAAATAGTCCCGTTGTTCCGTTTTTTCCACCTTGATTTTTTTCAAGCCATTTTCCTGGAACGCGACTTTGCAATCTTCAAAGGCCCATAACTTCCTTCGAAATTAATGTGATGAGATGCGGTAAAGACTGTCAGAATCTACTCGAAAAGTACTTAATAACATGCGTAAAATTTTCATAAAATTCTTTCTTCTGCCTCAATTTTTCTAGAAGGTTTCTAGAATTCGATTAAAATTCGCTACACTTTGTTCCGCTTTGATTTGATTTGCTTATACGCCGTGCACCTGTCTGTGGACAGAAGTCGCACTCGCATTTGAAAGTACCATATTTTCCCGAAGAAGGTGATAGTACTGTGACTGATTTGCAGTGTACTGTTATATGGTACTCTTGTTCCACTTCCCCAGAAACTGCTCTACACTTTTTTCTCCTTGGGATTTCAGGAATGTGCGATCATCGAAGGCAGACCATGTTTTTGCACTACGCTGTAACAAAGTTTTTGGCTATTGTAGTCTTGATCTATGCTGTCGAGCGAAAGCGCCGTCCGTGTATTTAGGATAAAAATGGGTGACAATGAGACTTATAATGCTCTGCATGCTCTAATGCTCTCATGGAGCTCTTGTCTGTGTGACCCTCCGACAGCTGCACGGTGCAGAGCTCCTGGAGAACATTAGAGTGTGAATGTGCACTGCAGGATACTGCACTTTTCAAGCCTTCTTGCAGCCCCTCTCTCTGGATACGACCCCCTCCCCTTTCTTTCGGTCGAATACGACCCTCTCGTTGTTCTTTGAGCAACAGGCGGTTGACCCTGCATGGGACAGAACGCGTTCCTTCGCGTTTTGCAGCGCGGAACATCATTCGCTGCGAGAACCAAGTCCACTGATGATCAGCGGTGGACCCGAGATCCCCGCAGCGAAAAATTTCGCGCTGCGAAACGCAAAAAAATCGCTTTCTGTCCCAGTGGACCACATCCTCGGGACACGACATACAGACCTAGCAGGCCATCCATCCTTCTGGGATCGGTTAAGTGATACCAGGTCTCTCTGGAAAGCTGTAAATAGAGGCATGTACCCTCCCATTCACAAGACGAGAAAGTGTCGGGTGCAGACCGTGCACCACAAGTGACGACGGCCTTCACAAAATGTTATGTTTCCTGCCAATGAAATGATTAGCCTGTTGCAATTGTATTTTATCGATTGTCACTAATTGCAACTATCACTTATCAGCAATCAGCTATCGCTATGAATAACTTCGAACCGGATTTACTTGGAAGCCGTCGTCAATTGTGGTGTTTGTTCTGCACTTGTCATGTCCTCGCTCACGTGCTCGCCGAAGGGCGGGACCACCTACGAGACGTGGCATAGTGAGTCACGCCAAGGCATGGAGGCCTACTTAAGCCGCCGCCAGCCGGGAACGAGAGATCCCGTCGAGTCCAGTCTTGGACTCCTTCGTCTAACCCTTCTTCCCCTTCTCCCGTATCTTAATATGTAATGAATAAATATGTGTATGGCTACTCTATGTACTTACATACCCTACCGCTACACACCCTTCGGATTATAGGCTTCATGAACCTTTTATAATCTGATATGGAGGTCCCGTGGTGTAGCGGTAGGGTATGTAAGTACATAGAGTAGCCATACACATGTTTATTCATTACATATTAAGATATGGGAGAAGGGGAAGAAAGACGAAGGAGTCCAAGACTGGACTCGACGGGATCTCTCGTTCCCGGCTGGCGGCGGCTTAAGTAGGCCTCCATGCCTTGGCGTGACTCACTATGCCACGTCTCGTAGGTGGTCCCGCCTTTCGGCGAGCACGTGAGCGAGGACATGACACCTCGACACTTTCTCACTTCTTGAATGGGAGGCTACATCGACTATGCCGCCACCAATGGTACACATATACCAGATCTCATCCATGAATGCCATTAGGATCTGAATTAGACAATTGCGCGACGCAACCAAGAGAAGGACTGGTCAAAATCGGAAAAACAGCAAAGTCGTTTGTTACTGCAATACTTTCTAATACCTGAACAAGAAGCTTTGTCGAATCTTCAAGGGCACAGCAATACAATGAGATGTGTACCACTTATCACTCCCTATTGATTCACCATGTATTAGATATTCGTGTGAAATCGGAATAGATTGTAAGAGTTTCTTGCTGTTACTTGTGAGGGCATACCGCTAATCATTGTAGTGTTTTTTTTTCTTCAAGCAAGCCTATTTGGCCGAAAAAAGCAGAAAAGGCCTCACAACGACTTGGCAAAAGCTATTTACAGCACTAGAAAAGGTAAATGGGGCATCATGAACCGCAGTGAATGAAATCATCACCATGCTTGTAGGCTGCTCAATCGACCGGAGTCATTTTGGCACAAATGGTAATGTTGGTTAGATTGCTGGCTATCAAAAGAGTAGTTCGACGTTTATGTCCAGTTTCACACTCCACTACAACGCGAGCTAATGGCCAAGGCAGCACAATCGAGAAAGCTACGCTAACCCTCAACTTCATAATGATTGGCCCTGGTCAAAATGGAACCTTCGCAAAATAATCGGCAATATCAGACACACTCGGACCAACCAGAGTCCATAATTTTGCTGGATATTTCCTTACAAGTCTTTACACTGTTTCACTAGCTGTAAGCCTTTACTAATTCAGAAAGGTAAGTCCATAATACTTGAAATCACAAGGATTCGATTCCTCGCAAGTCAAACTGCACGCATGACGCGACATTCTGCGTCCCTGCCCTGCCAAAGGTCAGACGCAGACAGGGCAGAGCGTGCAGAGTGAGCTCGCCCCAACTTGACCCTGACACACTGCTATTACACGTGGACCACATACGTGCAACTGTGGGGCGGTATGTATAAAGTTCAGTAGTCCCTCTTTCGCCAGTGACGACGGTCCGTTCCCGGTTTTCCTTTCATTCATATTTAGGGAACATTTTTGCGAGTGTTTCATCATCGTTCGTTTCATTCCCCACACAGTTTTTTATCCGATTCATTTTATCACCATTTCCTTCTATTTATTGCTCAATTTTTAGTCTTAATCAGCCTCCTAAATTTCGACTTTCTAGGTTATCCATTTTCAAACTCCGATAGAAAAACCATGAGGACGACATTTTTGTTAGGATTCGTATTCCTTTACTCAACTGGTGTCTTTTCAGAAGATGAAAAGAAGGTAGTTATTGAGCTCTTTTTTCAATTGCTAAGCGAGTTTCAGTCATGAAAAGATTTTTAGGAAGTAAAGTATGGAACAATCATAGGCATCGATCTTGGCACGACTTACTCGTGTGTAGGTGTTTACAAAAATGGACGAGTTGAAATCATCGCAAACGATCAAGGTGAGCTGCAGTTTGTGAGATAGGCTCTTTTTAGCTTGGGCATCCTTCGAGGGAATAAGTACTATGGTCCTAGTGGACCACTTCCTCCTCTGGGAAGTGAACGAGTTTTATCGATCAGTCGAAGCTGATTAAAGTGTGGGATCCTAATTATTTCTTGTACGTGCACAGGAAAAGATAATAGGTAGCTGTTACTATTGCAGTGAATCACGGTAGTTGTTGGAAGATAGTGACAAGCGAGTGCTTTCATCATCGCCAAAACGAAGTTATTGCTCTTGAGGTGCTGCTAAATAAACGTGATTACCATACAATGGTGATAACTTTGATTTAAATCCCACCTATATGTCTTATACCTGCGGTATGCTGTTGTTTGGGGTCGGTATTCAATTCACATTCATTTGGAGCTAATGACTCTACCTTTGATTAAAACTTCTGCGCAAGGCTGTACCAGTCACTTAATTGTATTAACTTCCAGGTAACCGTATCACCCCATCCTATGTAGCATTCTCCGGCGAATCTGGTGAACGTTTGATCGGTGACGCTGCAAAAAATCAGCTTACTATCAATCCGGAAAATACAGTTTTTGATGCCAAACGGTTAATTGGTCGAGAGTTCCAAGACAAGACCGTGCAGGACGATATAAAGCTGTGGCCATTCAAGGTAAGCTTCTCATTTCTTGCATAGGAATTTTTCAAAAAATGTAGTAGTTTTTGAAGTGCTACAAAGTGTCTCAAAAGACGCTTCATTTTTTGGAGAATAGTATCTTGCGTCTTCAATAGCTGCGTATATTCCAAACAGATTTATCCCCACTCCACCCTTTTTATTTCCTGGGAGCATCGACAGAAGTATCAACAGTAACTGAGCACGATAGGTCAAGTGTTTATCTCAATGTGTATTTCATGAATGTCTAGGAAAATCCTTCGAATGCGTAAATGTTCACGCTCGGGTTACGCCTTAGGCAAAAACGCTCTATGTCCATCCATAGAGCAAGGGAATGTAGTGTTTGAGTCTATCAAAGAAGTGCCGGCTTATCGGTCGGGTTTTTCGAGGTTGCAACGAGTCGCATGGGATGTTTCCTTGAGAGTGCGGAAAAATGAGTCTGCACCGGGCAGAGAAGAGCAAGAAGATTTACAGTACACTTTCGTAGAAAGAATCAAAGTAGAGGAGATTTTTCAGAATTATTTTTAGGTAGACAACAAGAACAACAAGCCCATGGTTTCATTGAAAGTCGGTCAGGAAATGAAGCAATTTGCACCGGAAGAGATTTCTGCCATGGTGCTCACGAAGATGAAGGAAATCGCTGAGTCATATCTCGGTAAAGAGGTTAAGCATGCCGTCGTAACCGTACCGGCATATTTCAACGATGCTCAGCGACAAGCAACAAAGGATGCCGGAACGATTGCTGGGTTGAATGTTGTTCGAATTATCAACGAGCCCACTGCCGCCGCGATCGCCTACGGTCTCGACAAGAAAGAAGGTATGTGTTTCTGCCTTTTTGTATGTAAAAAATCGTCGTGAACTGGCCTACGTCTAAGCAAGGAAGGTGTCGCCATTGCTAAAAGATTGGTTTGTCAAGCGAAAGGCGACTGACACTTGTTTGAGAAAGAGTGGGTGTACTGAAGCCCAGACCTTTATGGTTATGTTCAAAAGCAGAATAGGGTGGCCAAGTTAATCATGAATCGGTTCGAGTCGTGCTTAGGCCGGTGTCACACTTTGCGAAGCCAGTGATTCGGTAGCTACTTGTGGTGTATGAGCGATGCTCCAGTCGTTTGAACTGGGCACCAGCGAATTGAACGATTTATCGCTGCTCGAACTATGTACCACTGGCTTGAGCCACATAGCAATGACTCGGAAGTGTGTGAAAGTGGCCCTCTTTCGCACATTGGCTCTTGCCTTTTTTCCGGGCCTCATGCCCACATGAGCATGGGAAAGTGGCGAGAGTCAATGGGTAACGACATCGACTCCTGCTACTTCCAAACACTGTCGCGTCGCTGGTACAATCGATGGCGCATCGCTCACACCTTGCAACTCGCTAGCGAATCGTTGGATTCGCAAAGCCTGACACTGATCTTATGAATTATTTCTCAATTTCAAGTCGAGCTAGGGGCATGGGTTAGATGACTTCTCAGTTATATGCATCTCTAGTATTTTTACCAGGGCATCCGGTCTTTGTGGAGGGGGGGGGGGCTGCGCTTATGTAGAGATTCTCAAATGGATTCCATTTACCTGCTCACCGGGTTTAATATGAATTGTATGTGAAGATTAATCCATGTGTTGCTTTCCAAACACTAAATATTTTGTCAAAGCAGAGCAATTGTTTTAAGGTTTTTTTTTAGGAGAGCGCAATATCCTGGTATTTGATTTGGGAGGTGGAACCTTTGATGTCTCCATGCTGACCATCGACAATGGTGTGTTCGAAGTGTTGGCGACGAACGGTGATACTCATCTTGGAGGGGAGGATTTCGATCAACGTGTTATGGAGTACTTCATCAAGATGTACAAGAAAAAAACCGGCAAAGATCTCCGCAAGGACAATCGCTCCGTTCAAAAGTTGCGTCGTGAAGTTGAAAAGGCCAAGAGAGCTTTGTCGACGCAGCATCAAGTGAAGGTTGAGGTGGAGTCGATCCTTGATGGTGAAGACTTCTCCGAGTCACTTACTCGTGCCAAATTCGAAGAGCTGAACATGGATCTGTTCCGGGCCACGTTGAAGCCTGTACAGAAAGTCCTCGAAGACTCCGATCTGAAAAAAGAAGACGTTCACGAGATCGTACTCGTGGGTGGTTCCACTAGAATCCCGAAAGTCCAGCAACTTATCAAGGACTTCTTCAACGGCAAGGAGCCCTCTCGCGGTATCAATCCTGACGAAGCCGTAGCTTACGGAGCTGCTGTGCAAGCTGGAGTGATTAGCGGCGAAGAGAATACTGGCGATATTGTACTTTTGGATGTGAATCCACTCACTCTCGGTATCGAAACCGTCGGAGGTGTGATGACGAAATTGATCACTCGTAATACCGTCATCCCAACCAAGAAATCTCAAGTGTTCTCCACAGCCGCCGATAATCAACCAACTGTAACTATCCAGGTTGGTTCTCCATAGCACTCTGAAGGGAGCACTTTTACCTGAGTGTCTGTTCCGGGTTCTGGTGGTCTGAAGAGAGTACCCTTCTTAAAGGCACCAGGTTGTCTCATAAGTGGTGTCGCTTTTTTCGAACAAAAAATTTTCTTCTAAATCATTACGCTTTTGCATCATGTCGTAAACCAATCGGAAGAGAATTGTCTGCCTACAAGGCGCGGTGTTTTCTTTCATATCTATTGCGGAGGTCCTAAATTTTAGACCCGCAAATAGAATCCACTCGAGGAAAAATGGTTAAGCCGACGACTAGCTCTAACTCTATTGTACTTGGGAAAAATCAGTAATGTACTCTCTACTTATAATCTCTCCTAAACAGTCCGCTTCTGGGTTGCCAAAAAAGCTTTGCCGTGTTTCTTTTCGAAATGGCTGACCGATAAGCCATAGCAGTTTTCAAATTGAAATTGTTCCTCGAAAACTTCATTGTTTCATATCAAGTGGTGTTTCTTTTATGAGCGCTTCTTCTGCTCTATTCGCCTATTTGTTTTGTTTTTATGTTTGTCGGGAATTAGTTCGAGTTCTAGGTCTGCGTGGTAAGGTGTTTTGTCCACGAAAGTGACCACATTATTTTGAAGAAAATTTCCCCCGAGAGGAAGAGAAAATCAATGAGGCGTACCTTCCTAACCTAGTCATGACTTCTTTGTGGAATTCTATTCCAATGTCTCGGCTGTAAAAAAAATTCGAGCTAGATCTCGGGTAATGGTGCTCGACCGTGGAGTTCTTGGTGAAAAATCAGGTCTGGAAAAGGAGCAACGCGACTTGTTGGGAAACTTTGTAGTGAAATGTTCAGAAGAGGTTATGAATAAGTAGAGGGTACATCATTAATTGACTTCTCCCAAGGGAAGATAAAGTTAGAAGATAGAGTTAGAGACTCTTTGGTCAATTTTCGTCGGCTGGACCTCCCATTTTGCAGGCCTAAAATTTGAAATCCCAGAGACAGATATGGAAGTGGAACGTAGCATCTCTCAGAGCAGACAATCCTCTTTCGAATGGTATATGACATAATGTAAAAGCATGGAGATTTAGGAGAAAATTTTTGGTTGAGAAAAGCGACACTACATGTGAGACAACCTGATACATTCATTGTGAGATAGTTTTATAGCAAGAGGTAACCCTGTGCGGCGAGTACAAGCCCCTCTACGGACACTCGATCTCAGTGCGACTATTTTGACCTACTAAGCTTGTCATAATCTGGGAAGTTTAATCGATATCTCTAGGTGTTCGAAGGTGAACGACCAATGACAAAGGATAACCATCAACTTGGCAAATTTGATCTCACTAACATTCCTCCAGCTCCTCGTGGTGTTCCTCAGATTGAGGTTTGTTCAGCGGTGGACCGTTAGTTGTTTGCGTAGGCGAGAAACTCTCAACTTATTTTTCATTCTAGGTCACGTTTGAAATCGATGTTAATGGTATTCTCCATGTAACCGCAGAAGATAAGGGAACTGGTAACAAGAACAAGATCACGATCACCAACGATCAGAATCGTCTGAGCCCTGAAGATATTGAGCGAATGATCAATGATGCTGAGAGGTTCGCTGAAGATGACAAGAAGGTCAAGGAGCAAGTGAGTTCTCCGTATCTTCTTTCCCTTTCAGCGATTCGGGAAGTTATCTGTAGGGAACTGTAATGTGTGAAACAGTAATACAAGTACAAGTTAGCGTCGGAACTCGTAGGGGGCCAAGAGATGCAGTCAAATTACCACATATGTAACTTTGCTAAGTTTTGTTCCGGTTAATTTCAACTTCAGTTTTTCTTTATAATCAAAATCTCTTATGTTTGGTACCGGTTGAGTTTAGTTGAACGCGTTAGAGTTCCCGTTGATTACCTCACCGTTCACTTTGTTGTTTTGCCATAGAGTGCATGACATTTTAATATAAATATAATAATGCCACTTGAAGCGAGACGCGGATCTTCATTACTGTGGAAACTATGCAGCCCATACGTGGGCGACCGCATAGGCCTCTTTGTGCCATATTTTCGCGATGGATACAAGGTCTATTTATCGCTTACCTCATCAAACAGAAAAAAAAACTGTGGTCTTTCTTTGAATAGTATAATATAATAAGTCTTTCTTGTGAATTTGCTCACTAGCCTTCCCAGGGCATTTACTGAAGAAGTTAGCTGTATTGATTCAAAACGTGCTTGGTATCTAAATTGTTAAATCAGTCCAGTAACACACAGTTGGTCAATAGGATAGGACGGAGTGGGCGAATATGTTGAGCGGATGTGTGATTGAAGCGCTGAATGTCACAATATTTCAGGTGGAGGCCCGAAACGAGCTGGAGTCTTACGCCTATTCATTGAAGAATCAGATTGGTGACAAAGAAAAACTTGGAGGAAAATTAGACGATGATGATAAGAAGGCAATCGAAACAGCTGTAGACGAAACTATTAGTTGGTTAGAAAGCAACCGTGAAGCATCAGTAGATGATCTCAAAGAGCACAAGAAGGTAAGAGTTGTGCGGGTTTTCTTCACAATTCTATCCATTCCGTTTTTTTTTCAGGATTTGGAAGGAAAAGTGCAACCCATCATCAGTAAACTCTACAAGGACGCTGGCGGAGCAGGTGGTGACGGCGAAGCTCCTCCTACTGAGGAGAAGGATGAGCTCTAGGGAATATCTATGTAATGTAAAAGTCAAGTTTTGGACTCACTCAGAACTTCGTTATTGTCCACGGCGAACTTGTAATAATTGTGTGGGCGATGTTGTTGTGCTATGCATTTTGCGGCTTTCCTCTATTTATTACGTGGTTGAAGTTTTATAGAGTATATTACTCGATAATAAATTTCTTGTTATCTATGATTGAAAGTTCGTAAGGTTCACTGCTTGGATATTTGAACAAGGTCGCGTTGAGTTGTTTGCGGGTTGTTGTCAGTGGGTCAAGGTTATTTACTCTGTCGTTCGTGCACGAGTGAGATGATCGATTGGTTGGTAAGAGTGTGTTCGGCTGGCTAATATCTAATTTTTGGGGCTTTCATTACAGGTACGGCCATGCAATTTGACTACGACCGTGCAGCAAAGGCTCTTTATTAGCTATGATGAAAGCAATTTCTGAGATTATCCAAAGTGATTCGGTTTAGCTGTTTTTTTTACTGCACGATGGTGATCAGAACCTGGTGTACTCACGATGTTTGGCTAATCACTGAACCCAAAACTTAAAGAAACTAGGGTGGGATCGGAATTTGTCAGCTATTGCGCCCCTTGTTTCACTTTTAGAGCGAAGGCGTGTATAGCGGCATGCACGAAAGGCGCGTCAAAAAGAGGTTTCTCGCTGCGTATTTTTAGGGTCCATAGTTTCTATCGGGTTCTGTAATTTACGCATGCTTTTCATGATACAGAAAATTGTGTCAAATTAGTAGAAAATTTTCCAAGTAGCAGCCCTTCGAGGGCGGAAGTGGTGTAAAGTGGCACGCTTACCACGCGAGCGGTCCAGGGATCAAATCCTGAGTCGTGAGTCGCCCAGGCCAACCAAGCTTTCCATCCCTCCGGGGTCGGCTATTTGGAACCAAACTTGTCTGAGAGGATAAAAAACACTGTCTTATATATTGGCTATCCCCGCAAGTCATTGTATAGGCTACAACGCATTCAAACGCCACTACGAATATACACTTGGAAGTAGAATGCGTGCCGCATCCTAAAAAGAGATTGATCAGAGGAAAATGCTTTATCCTTTTGCTTTAACAGCCGTTCGAAGATCGTGTACTGAGGAATTCCCTTTGCAGAATTCTTTTTGCATTGTGACACGGTGTTTTGTCCTGTTCATAAATTCAAAAAAAAAACAACCAAGTGGTTTTCTGTCCATGGCAAAAGTTGGTGTGCGCTTCCACATCTTTTTTGAAACACAAATACCAAAAGGAGAAGAATTATGCGTTTTATATTTGTTGTGGTGCTAATTGTAACCATGGAATCTGCACTTTCCACCAGAGCGTTCTCAACATACTGAAGCGTCGATTCGCTGCCCTCATGAATTTCTTGTTCCGTTGATCTGTCATTGGGTGAAATATGCTAGATTCCGTGTATATCCAATGTAAGGGCTGGTATACCGCGATTTGGTGGTTCCGCTGTTTTGAAACAAGCATGATATTTGGTTTTAATAAAAAGAATATAGCGAGAAGTATTACTTTTCTGTGTGCACAGTGAAGGAAAATGGAGAGATGCGGGTTTGATGGTGGCAGTTACTACATATAATTTTGGCCGACCTTGTATCGTCTGTATCGTCTGTTGTGTTATCAGTGGTGAATGTTTTTCTTTATTGAGCATTGAATTGTTGCTTACACTCGTCATTCGAGCTCATGAGATATCTGTGCGAGATTCATTGTTTTTTCTCTGTGTTTTCATAATTTACCCTAAAAGAAGTTATTCTAGATGTATCATGAACGGCAGTCACGGCAGATGTGCCTAGTGCATGCTCTGAATGCCCTGTTTCAAAAACGCCATTTCACGTCGGAATCTTTAGATGAGATTTGTTATTCTCTCAATGATAGTCGGTGGTTCAACCCCCACAGGTAACGCTTCGTAGTTTTTTTTTATTGTTTCATTTCACCATATTCAAAGTCTCACCGTTCAGATCGATGCTTGGCCTTGGTAACTATGATGCGAATGTATTGATGTCAGCGCTTGCAATGTACGATTACCAGGTAAGCAAACACCCCACTCGATAGTTTTATTTGGCAATCTCTGATGATTACTGGCCGATCCTCATGACGTTTCTTTTCGGTTGTCTGGTTCGACGGTAGGTTACCAGTGGAACGCATTCGCTTCAATAACATAGATGCACTGATTGTGAATATCCCAACGAAAAACTACATTCCTTTCTGGAAAGGGCGTCATTGGTACACAGTACTTCGACAGGCCAACGGCAAGTGAGTCGGTTAAGGATTTTCAAGTGATCCAACGTACAAACAGATCCCAATGTAGTGTAGTTTTTGCCAACAGACAGTGCGCGACGTCACGCGTGGCTCAGATGCAGTTTATTCTGCGTGTTACGAGCAGCACACACCATATGTTTCCACGGCGAAAACATCATCGGCATCCTAATGCATCCTTTTGCTGCAGGAATGCCATATATATGTGGTACAGAGTGTACAACACAAAAGACCTGAATGATGTGCCAAATTTAATCTACAAGAGGTGCGGCATCGCGCTCTGAGCTGTTAATGTACACGCTAATCTTAGTGGTTGCGACTTTGGCAGTATGACAGAATCGCGATTGCACTTTTGCTGTCGAATTTTGCGATTGCAGACGTGAAGTCTGACACTTACCTTACTGCTCGTGGTTGAATCTTTTGAATTATTCTTCTATAAAAGTAGTCCTAACACAGTTCGTTCCAAATCTTTCTAACTTATCGCCAGTGTGAAAGTAAGAAGTAGTGGACGTGAACGCGTGGCAATCATAAGCTCTGCTAGGGTATCGGTTGTAGGAACTGGAGGGCATTGTTCCATAAGGTGACGAAGCGAATCTTTTCTCATTAACACGTCGACGACAGGATGACGCGCATGCGCGTCAGATTTTCACCAGGATGGGACTCGTTTTGATCGGTTTATTTGGCATGCTTCATGTTTCAAAACTATCTGGATGCATAATCGTATTCGGAAAACTGTGCACCGGTTAACAGTGGTGGAATTGTTGAAGGAGTAACGTCTGTTTTGAAAATAATAAACAAAAAGTTGTCGAGATGCGCGCACAACGGGCTGTCGTCAACGTGTTAAAAAAATATGCACTGTGACAGTCAGCACCTGACTGTCACAGTGCACAAATTTTGAATAAAGGAACGTTGTGACACAAGGAAAGAGATTGAGTGTTGAATTCAGTGTTGATCTTAATACGTACTTGCCTCATATTATTTTATCTTTATTTCTTTAGTTGTGCCTGCTGTGCTTGTTTACTTGGAATAAAAGCAAGTTAATTTCAGGTTCTACAACCTTGACTCGAAACTGGATAAACCCGAGGAAGTAACTGATATCGTCAAGTATTGTCATGGACTGCTCTCGAAAACGGCAGATGCAAATCAAATTTTCCTAGTTGGTAAGAGTGATCCATCTCTTTATGTTTCCCCGGAGTGAACAAGGTGAAATGGTAAGGACTGGCTAGGATGAGCTGCAGTTGTTAATACGTGCCCCTAGCACCGGTGTAATTTTACACGTACCCCTTCTGTGAATTTATACTGGTATTTGGCTGAATCCATATTGACTGCCTGTGTTCATGTAAAGTGTGATTCTTCGAAGCGCCTTTCATTATCCATCTATTGTTTGACTTGCGTTGGCGGCTAATAATTTTCAATTGTGTACAAAATGAGTTAGCCGGAGGGTTTCAAAAGAGAAATTTTCGCAAAGGAAAGAACTTCTGGGGTGGGTGTAAAAGCGAAATCGAAATGGTTTACGCACCTGAGGATTTCCTCCCTTTGCAAAAATTGTAATTCTTGTAAGTGGTAGCAACTTTCGCACCACATGCCTCCCTCTTCTTACTGAAGAAAATCCCCATTGAATATTGCCTTGTATAAAAAAATTGTTAATGTAATAAAGTCTGGTTATATAAATGATCACCGAATGCTAGCGATGAGTGGAATTTTTGAAATTTCTCATGATTTTTGTCGTTCGGTACGAGTGCCTTTTGCTGGATTCTGCTGTATGATCAAGATAGTGCCGCGCTTAAAACCTTCAGTGTTGGTTGCCGGTCAGCATCTGCTAAGCGGCTCATTCCCTCTATGCTCATTCTCGGTATATTCTGTCTGTTCTTACTGGGATACACCTTTGTTCCTTTTTACCCGAACGTATATTTTTTTTTGGCGTAAAAGGTTTCGCTTGCAGCGCTGAAAATGCAGCTCAAAGGTATGCTAAACGCGTGATCACACACTAGTCGTTGGTCTGTTATGGATAGCCCAATGTAAAAAAAAAGTGATGGAAGGCATTTGTTCGGGTATAAGGTAGCTTCTGTCATATTTGGGCCATCCGCAGTATTACATTAGCAAAAGTAAAACGCTGTCTAACATATGCGCCATGAGCTTCTCTTCGTTTTCCACTCCTAGGAAAACTCGGGTCATGTACTATCCATGTAGGAAAACGAGTTTGTAGGCGGACTAGTTCGAGATTTTTTGAATTCCTATCTGTCATCAAGTCAACGGTTCATCAACCCTGCTGTCAGATTCATTAGAGCAAACTATTTCTTGGTATTGTGCTGCCCTGTAACCGCACCAGAATCTAAATGCTGAATTGCATTAAGACGAAAGACGACTTCAAAAGAATTCCGAAAGACTCTGAAATCAAGTCCATTAGTTTATTGGAAAGCTTTTGCCATATTTCGGTGCTTAGCACCTTCGTCAGACTTTAATTCGCGTCAGCCCATAGAAAAGTGTTTTTACGGGCCACGACTTGAGGAAGCAATTATTTTTTTTCTTTGTGCAGCGGGACACCGTAAGGGGTAGCTTCAGACTTGGTTGAGGAAACCAGTACCGGACGACGGTGCAGGTGCTGCGCTATTGGGTTGTTCAGAAAAATTTAGCCAATTTTGACTTTCAAGTTCAAGAGCGCATATCTCGGTTCAAACTAAGCACCTTTGCTCGAATCAAAAACTGTTGCAGTTTCCATACCCTTGCCTACAAGGAATGAGTTTATTGGATCCGCATGTTGGGAGTGCTGGAGTTCTGTGAGCTGAGAACCCAGCTTAGGTCGTTTCACCGCAATGTTAGGTTCCAATGCTCAATCTCCCTTAGTAGATCTTCCAAATGGTTGGAAAAGTAGTAGTTGGTAGGCAAGAGGTCTAGCGTGTAAAATGTTTGCAGCTTGATTTCGTAGCTCAGCTAGTTCAACTTGGAAGTGCGAGTGAGGTTGCGCAGTAGTTCAACCTGGAAGTGCGAGTGAGGTTACGCAGCAGTTGGTAGATGAGCCGGCGGCACCCAATTTCGACTTCTTATTTAGGGCTTTTTTAGGGGCTTTTTTTACCTTCACCGCTACATTTTGAAATCTTATGTCGGTTACGCCCAATTCAGAAGCAGAACGTTCAGCCCTGTTCAGGAGTGCATGCTGATTTGTTTTGGCCCAACCCTTACCTTAGCTTTATCAGTCTCCGATGTCACTAATCTCCTTCGAAGCTTTGAACATCGCGAGAAAGGCATTTTGGATAACGACTGCACTGAATAGGGGTTATTTGGGGCCCTCATCACGAATATGACACTCGTTTTTGCCATTCGTGCTGCTTAACCATATTTTCTGATTTTCTAAGCTTTCTCACCTATAGCACCTAAGACTAAGCTTAGAGGAGGGGGTGAAACTTCGGATAGTGTAAACCACGCCCGTGTGGCAAAAATTGGTGTGTGTTGGACCACAGAGGAGTGGTCTACTCACCTCGGAGCGCGCCTCTATTCAAAGCTTTAGTTCTGATTGCGATCTAATTAGTGCGAAGGCGTAGACGAGCAGGAAATAGGCGCCGAATAGCGCCAAAAACAAAAACGAATGACATAGTCGTAATCAGGACCCCAAATAACCCCCATACAGAAGTTTACAGCGAATTTAGTGGGAATCTGTCGTGGCGCCACCTGGCGCCAAATGGCACCAAATTGGTGCGAGCGCCAAAAATGAATATCATATTCGTGATCGGGACTTTCTGTAACTCCCATAGCCGAGGTTTCAGCGAAAATTATTTTTTGACCCATCTCATCGCTCCTGGGGTTGTAATAGTGCAATAGTGCCAGCATTTAACAGTGGCGGTAAAAACAGCGGAAACTTTCCGAACAGCCCAATAAAATTTCCACGTCTCAGTGCAAGATTTACATACTGGTTAGGGTTTAGGGCAGTAAATTGTTAAGAAATGATTTCTTGTTCGAAGGATGTAGCGGCTTCGAATTTGTATAGCGTACAGCATCTCATGATTCCGGCAGTATTGATGTAAAAATGAGGATTAACAGCACCTCTTGCGAAAGCGTGAACATTCTATTTCTTGCGAAGGTGTCATTGCACACTGCTTATACTTGTAAAAACCTTTATTTATTAGACATTCAGCATGATTTCTATCCATCGTCTCTCCGTAAGATTGTCAATTCGTCATCTGCAAAGGTTATGACAGTCAAACAAATGATGGGTACCTTTTGCTTCTATTCAAAGAAAGAATGTTATGATTTCCCAGCGCATATACAGTGCGTACCGTAATTATACAGTGCGCGTCAATTGTATATGCCACCCCCTGATTTTTTTCAGTTTTCTGAGTTATTTGGAAATTTCGTAATTCGGCATAGCAATCATCGTTTTCGGCGTGTCGGAGAACTAGGAATGATATTTGATTTTGGTTAACGCGCGGATTTGAATTGCTCTTTTCTTTGGAAGAAAATGGGCCGCGTCAATTGCTTATGCCATCCTAAAACTTCTTCGGAATTTCACATGTCTCTAACGCTATTCGGCTACGGTGTGCATGTAATACACATGAGGAAATCCTCGACTTATGCAAAGCCCGCAAATGGTGGAGCATTTATAACTAATTATTTCGGAATGTTAGCCCTAATATTGAACGGTAGCAGCATGAAAACGCTTTATCAGAGAAGTGCTGTGTGTTCACTTTTGCACCGCTCTTGCTGCTAGTTGTAGAAATCATCGAGGAGTGTATCAAGGCAAAACTGGGGAAATTGAAGTGCTTAAGGAGCCCTTAAATTCACATTTTCTCGCTTTGAATCCGTGGTCAACTTTATTTGTGGTCTCGGCTCCCTGCGAAGCTCGAAGCGTTCACGCTCACAGAGTCTCTTTTTAGAGAGAACATGACTCGTACCTACATTCGACAAAGTTCGGCGATGGGTACTGCGCGGATTGTGAGTGCAACTCATATTCTCTCTGAACAAAGACTTAGTGAGCGTGATTGCTTCGAGCTTCGCAGGGAGCTAAGGCCACAAATAAAGTTGAACACGGATTCGAAGCGGGAAAATGAGAATTTAAGAGCTCCTTGAGCACTTAAATTTCCTCAGTTTTGTCTGGATACACTCCTCGATAAGTTCTACAATAAGCAGCAGGAGCGATCGCAAAAGTGAGCACACATTTCTCTGATAAAGCGTTTTCATGCTTCTACCGTCCAGTATTAGGGCTATCATTCCGAACTAATTAGTTATAAATGCTCCACCATTTGTGGGCATTGCATAAGTCGAGGATTTCCTCATCTGTATTACATGCACACCGTAGCTGAATAGCGTTAGAGACATGTGAAATTCCGAAGAAATTTTAGGACGGCATAAGTAATTGACGCGGCCCATTTTCTTTCAAAGAACAGAGCAATTCAAATCCGCGCGTTAATCAAAATCAAACAACACCATTCCTAGTCTTCCGACACGCCGAAAACGATGGTTGCTATTTATTTATTATTCACTGGCCAATCACAGAAAAATGGAAATAATACAAAGTAGTTATCAAGTGTTTACCAGCCGATTGACTTATTGATTATCTAATAGAGAAAAACGTTTGTGGTAGGAACTCCATACGGCTCCATTAGTTAGTGCCATTAGTTTTGAGGGAGCAATCCGTTATGCACCGATAGATTCATATAGACCGGATGGAATTACTTTTAGAGAACCACTGGCCACCGAGCCCTGAAAATAACCGACTACTGAGGCCGCAGCACAACAGGGGCGGGCGCCAAGTGCACCTCTTTGATCTAAATACGAACCCCAGGAGCTGGCTATGCCGTTACGAAATTTCCAAATAAGACAGAAAACTGAAAAAATTGGGGGTGGCATATACACGCGCACTATAGACGCACCCCTACAATAACCATAGCCGCGCTCCACAGAAGTTCTTGGCAAACGGCTTATTACAAATCAGCATGCGCGAAAAACTATGTTAACCCGCTTCCACGTGAAGTGGAAGGAATTCGGCCCTTTCCAACAGGTGGACATTATTTTGCCTGTATCAAAAGTATAGACGCACTCCATTAGCTTGCGTAAAATAATAGGCTACACATAGGCAACTTTCCATTCCAGCAAACAAATAACTGGGGGTGAGGACGCTGCACAATATCGAAAAATGCCACGAGGTCCACATTCGTTGTAAGGCGAGTAGGTACAGGTTTGCGCCCAACACACCATTCCTAAGCA